TATACCATCACGTAAGCTTACAAGAGAGCAGCTTATTTCTTCCTTTAGAGCTGCTCCGCGTTTTTTGAAAGCCTACGCCCGTAGTTGCAAAGTTGTGCCGCATATTAGCGTTAAGCATTTCTATGAGAACGCGTGCGATCCTAGCGACTGTGATCATAATATACATAATTTCTCCCAAGCGAAAACTAGCAAGACTAGTAAAACGCACAAGGTTTCCGACAATAGCAGGAATACATTGAAAAATCTGGCGTTGGTCGAGCTAGGGTCGATTTGAGCGTAGCGTAGCACCCACAAACTATTTGAGCACCACTTGTAACCTAAGTATTTGACCACATATCGCAAATTCCAAAATTATCCATATGTTTCATACTATTCGAGCACCACGTGAAAATAAAAACCGTTTTGAGAATTTCATAACCCCCAAACCACTTGGATACTCCTATTATACTCTAAATTATTCGGTAGTTCTTTGATTCTTTGATTCAAAAACTATTTGAGGACCTCATAAAAGCTCTAGTTATGAAATGAAACTATAATTATGACCATTACGTACTCAAAACTATAAAAAATAACACATACAAGCTGATTTAATGTACTTCAGATCATCTTCTGTCGCGTGGGACACTAAGTCGATAAACGACCCGATGAACTATAATATTTGAAGTAGTAAATCAGATATGTGCCACTCTGCGCGAACATAACGACACAAAGAATTGTAAAATTATAAATTTAATTAAAATAAAACAAATTCAAAACATTCTCTGTTAACTTGTAAGCTTTAATAATGTAATTTGAATAAAAATACGAAAATGTAGTAAAAATCGACTCTTAAAAATAAATTGTAAGTGATTTTTCTGTGAGAAAGTTACCATTGGTAAATTGTATTTTATACAAGGTGGTACCGAACAAAATTACTTGAGGACCAATGGTAAAAGTAAAAAAGAATGGACTCCCCAGAGTAGAAGTTGCTTTAACAGCAGTTTTTTTTTTTGTAAAGGAGGCTTAATTTTTTAGACTTTGACCTTTGGTCCGTGGGGAAAGTTGTTTAGTTTGACCTATTGAGCTTAGCGTTTTCGGAAAAATGGGTGGTTCGGTACCACCCTGTATTTTGTGATTTACGACGTAATGGTAAAAGTATGCCTAAAGTAGTACATTTTAAAAATGTTATAGACTGATTTGTGCCATAAATTTTGTACGACAATTTATAATTTGATTTTCTATCTCACAATGCATGCGACTTTTATTTGAAAAAAAAACTCAATTTTTAAAAGATAGAGTCAAGATGAGTATTAATAATCAAGAAAGAGTATGTGTAAAGTGTTGGATGCATGCGTATTTTCTATTCTTAGAGCCTCATTACACTAGCGGTTTGCATGCGCATCCGTCGGGCGTCCGCTCCGCTCGCCAACCGCTTGTGTGATAATGATAAGACTCTAGCAATGATAAGAAGTCTAGCACAGATTGGTTACGTTGCGTCACAGATAAATAATATACTAATACTGCCATATAGTTACGTGGCGTTGCAGCATCCAATCTATGCAAGCCTTATTTTTTAAAATTTGTGCTTCTATTCAGACTACGTCTACAAGCCCATTCTGATCACAGTTTTTCGATATTGTGCTCTCCATATGGTACTGCATCGAATGCTATAATACTATTACTATTTTTTTACTGTTGTGTGTTGAGTGATATTTTTGAGTGGAAACAATTTAAGAAATCGGCGATAAATGGATCAAAATAAACATACTTTTTATATTTGCTGAGTTACTTACAAGATTTTATATTAAATTAATTTGTGACTCTCGTTATCATGTAGCTGATATATAAAAGTTTATGAATATCGCTACGAAATAAACTAAAGAGCCTAAAATTGTATATACTGTATTACATTAATTTAGGTACCTTAATGTTTATTTTGATACATTGTCCGCCGCATTTCAATATTTTTTGTGTTTTAACATGTGATTGAATTTGTAACGTTCTAACCAACTTAATAATCATATTTTTGTTACGGCTTTTTACTAATTCTAGGAATATTAAATGTGTTTGTAGCTTTTATTATGTGATTGTAATCAATCATGCATGGCATGCATTTTTTATATTTTTGCAAGGTAGGTAATATTATCAGCATGTCGAGATGATATTTAAAACTTAAATTACAAACTTTTTAATTTTTGCAAAATTTATTACTTGTCATATAGGGAGTAACAAAAAGGGTGTAACAAGCCTAAAAAGAGGTCAAAGTACTCATGAAACTGAACAATTTTTCCTATGAAACATGGGTGGAAACATGAAGAAAAAAATACAAAATGCCTGCCATACAAAATCGCCGAACAACTGAATATTTTTTTCATACTTCGTCTCATGTTCCATGGGGAAAGTTGTTCAGTTTCATGAGTACCTCGACATACTTTCGGCTTGTTATACCCTTTCTGTTACTCCCGGTATAAATGAAGCAACAATTCAATTCAATTCAATTATTAAGCAGTTAATAGGAAGTGTCCTGTGCCGGGTTTGTTTTAAAACATGATATGCTGCTATTGCAACACCATAATTCGGCAATATACATAAGTACCTACATATATCAAAATTGTTTTTAGAAATGATGCATGTTAATCATACCTTTAATTTAACAAACTAATCAAAGTACTTACCTAAACTAAAATGTTTACTTTACTGCATACTTAAACTAAGTCCTGATTTTATCGACTATTTGCTTCGCATGTAATCCACATTGTGTTGATTTTTAATAAAATATTTTTAATCTGTAATTGAGTTATTTTTATTCATTCCTGGGTTTTAGCGCAATAAGTACCTACTTATGTTAAATCGTCTCTAAGATGCAAGTGAAAATTCATATTTTATGGGAAAAGGGGTGCTAACATTTAAAAATCATAATCTTTGTGTGCTAATATTGTTTTGTTGGGGATTGGTACAACTAAAGTAGTCGCATGATTTTCTATCTGTTTCTACTTTAACTGTAATTTCAGAACAAAATTTTGGCCTTGTTCCTAAACGTTATATGTTTTTTTTGTTAAATGTGCATGTGCTATAACTATAACATTGTCTTGTGCTTTTGTGATGGAGTCTTGTGCTAACCATTTTATTGACGGTATGTACATTTCATTTTGTTTTGTTTGTTTATTTGAATTTATATTATGTTCAGCTTTTGTTTTCATTTTATGTTTTACATTTCAACATCATCGGTCTGGTCCATTTTCCATTCATGAAATATTTACTAGCATGGCTCTGAAATCTATTTACTTTACCCTTTACCCTAGTACCCGATTGAAAATATCTAGTAGAAACAGAAAAATAATAAAAAGTATATGAAAATGTTTGACTTTACAGAATATCCTTCATAAGAGTTAATAACTATATCAATAACGTATGTTTCTACCTTTTCAGAACGCGCAAATACCCCAAGAGCAAAACTTAAGCACAGACTTGAGCAGTAAACTTATGACGAATATGGACGACCTTTTGTACGTGGAAGACGAAGAAGAAGCAGATTTGAAGTGAACGAGGACTCTGCCTAGATGGCGCCAGTGTATATGTGTGTACATAATAGTGGTACGTTGTAGATAAATGTTGGTTGAACTGGTGGACTAAATTGATTTAATATCTTAATGGGCATGAAAGCCTTTCTTTTGACAGCTATAAAAAAACTTAGTGGTTAGTAAAATCATGCACACAATTGCTCGTAAAAATCACTTACTGATTTGGTTGTCATTCTTGAAATAAATAATCGTTGCCAAAAAAGGCAAGTCATTCAGCGCCATCTATAGATGATTTACTAACTACTAAGTACTAATTTTTACTTTTTAATAGTTGTCAGAAAAGTCTCATTCGAAAGGATCCGTTCTCTCTCAATGACACAGGGTGAAAAGTATAATTTACTGTGATGGCTGAAAAATACTCTTCACCAGGGTTTGTTGGGTTGTACGGGGACTCGGTGACCCACACAAAAATTAAACAAGAAGTTTAATTATTAGTTCGTTCAAATTGTTTTGTAAAATTCTAGATTTACTATTTGTTTAACGACTCCGATATGTTGAGCAAAGGATTTTTCGCCCTGTTTCATTGTAAGACTAATACATTAGTATTTCCATAAGGTGCAATATGTCACTTTGATTTGGTATACCTAATGTCACATTAAAAAACATTTGGCAAGCCGGACGTTCTGTATTGATGTTTGGTTCATTATATTATAGATAGTAGAAAGTGTTGTCGAGTCAATTATTATAAATATACGAAAATTTTATTAGTTATGTACAATATCAAAGTTTTTTTTTACATTTTATATGTTTTGTATTAAATTCTTTTTTAAACATTATTTTTTCGGGACTTAGAGTACCTTTTAGTTATTTTGTGTGTAATTGGAATGTTTTAAACATTTTACTGAATAGATTTTTTAAATATTTTTTCTTATTATTCCAATACTAATGCATTTCTTTTTGTATTTTTTAATTTTTATAATAATCTGTTAGATTGTTAGTGCCGTCCAAGGTTAGATAAATTAATTCATGTCGAAAATAGTTCATAGGAGTTTTTTGAATTTCAGTAGACCAAATGGACGGAATATTCATTTTTAGTACCTATCTTTACCTCCTTCTTTCTTTGGTATTATGTATACCTATTACTTAGCATTTTTTCAAATTGTTATACTTATAATAGTTTGTTTTTTGTGTAAATACGAGTTAATTCACACGTAGTTGGTTTGTGCGTTCATTATTTTTGTACATTTGAAATGATGAATGATCTGACGAGTATACTAAAAATATGGAATTGAAACAGTAAAAATATTGAACCATAGTTGATATATTGTGGATATGATGTTAATATTAGCTTGAACAATTTCCTTCTCTTCTATACCATGGTTTGTGTATATCTTATGCATATTTAAGTGTTCACAATAAGTAGGTATGGTAAGTTGGGGTAAAGTTATTGTTTCTCTTATTTAAAATAAGATACAATAAATAAAAATAAAATAAAATGTTAGTGTCGGCCGGGGCTTGAACCCGGGACCGTGGGGTACCGTCTCAATGCTCTGTCAACTAAGCTACCGGCGCCTAATCGACCAGCACGAAATTTTCAACCTCTTGATGCTAGTCTCGAAGCGATGATTACGATTTATCTTCACTCATAGGTATGATACATAAATCAATGTGTCTGCATTAAAATCCAAAATAAATATCCGGAGTTCAAATAATTAGGCAAGCAAGACAATAAAATTAACTGTGTGGTAAGTAATACTCAATCTATTACTACTAAGTTAGTCTCACTTACCTCATTTTACCATACCTAGTTTCTAGCAAGAAAATATTGTAAATATGGAAATATTGTAATTAGTCTTGTAACTTATGTTTTGACATAAAGCTCATTTCTATTGGTTGTCAAGCAATTGAAAGTATTAAAAATAGTATCAATAAATATCATCAATATAACTGAGTATAAGTATAAGAGATGTAAGGACAGATCTCCGGAAGTCAATTTTGTTGTCATTTTATGAAATATTTTCTTATGGAAAGTTGTTCAGTTTCATGGTGAAACCGGTAAATGCAACTCATGAGTTTTTGAAGGGCTGTCCCTTTAACTTTGTATTTTTTCTTGCGGCAGCTATTAATCTGTTCGAACTTTTGTATTCTGTAAGTAGTTAAATGTGACATATCTGTAAGCGCACTAGTCAGTTGAGTAGTCCAGTGTAAAAATACCTTTATAATCAACAAACGATGGAATAAGAATAAAGTTATTTACGTTTTTATTTCATGTTTTATTTTCATTGCCGGTTTTTAATAGCATCACCCCATTTTCTCGTGGGTGTCGACATTTGATGTGTGTTGCAATGGTGATACATAGTCTTCTGAATGACTAAAACTTTTTCTCAGCCGTGGTGTAAATGGCAATTTTTACAGCCGTTTACGCTCTGCCTACTCCGCAAGGGATACAGGCGTGATATAATGTATACAGGGTGTTAGGGACGGTGTAACGAAAACTTTGCAGGCGTGCTCAGACCATGAAACTGAATAACTTTTACTATGGAGCCAATGGTGGGAAACGAAATAAAATTTCCGGTCTCCCATACAAAGTCAGTCAGCTGATCGTGAATTTTGTATGGGAGGTCGGATTTTTTTTTTCATTTCCCACCATTGGCTCCATAGTAAAAGTTGTTCAATTTGATGGTCTGGTCATGCCTGCAAAGTTTTCGTTGCACCGTCCCTAACACCCCGTATATGCTTCTTTTCAAAACATATGTAACATCATCGTAGGGCGGTTTATCCTGGTCACGGCATCAATTTGTAATACGGGATGCTTCGGAACGATCGACCTTTCCCAAAACGCTAACTTTAGGCCGTAAAACTTAATCTTATCAAAAAAATTGACCTCGGACATAAAAAAATACTGAACAAGTATTTTGAGGTATGGATTTTTTATAATAATATTTTCAGGTATGTTTTCCTGGGAAAGTTTTTCAGTTTGACGTGTTGAGCTCAGCGTTTATGGGAAAGTAGCTCGTTCGGTACCACCCGGTTTCAGTAGGTAGGTGTATCCTGGTATAAGTAGGTAGGTGTAAAAAAAGAAGTATCCTCGGTCACGGCACCAAATTTTTAATAGAAGGCTTTCTGCTGTTTACTGATACTACTTATAGCTCTATTCTTTTCTGCTGATCAGTGATTACCTATTCTTAGTCGCAAGCTCCACAGAGTGTACGTACGTGAGATGTAAGATGAAATCTGTCAAACAAGTGGTCGTCGAAGACGTGAGACTTGCGACATAGCGACGCTTGAAACTGTTTCCAGAAGAAACAAAGCTACACACGCGCATCCCATCGATAACGGTTGACGATCGCTTGTCTGACAGATGTCATGTTGCGCGTCGCGGAGCCAAATTGTGGAGCTTGCCCCTTATAGTCTAGATTCTAGATTCCAGAATAAGAAAAAGTGAGATTTCTTGACTTCTTCGCTTTAAAAAAGAAAGAGGTATCTGGATTTCTTCGGTCTAGCAAATAAAGTGGTGATATAAAGACGATTTGGTGTTGAAACTTTGGCGTAACTAAGTCTAGAAAATCCCGCCATAAAGTGAGATTTCAACCACAACTCCATAAATATTACTATCTCATTTTATGTCGAGTGGTTTAGGCAACCTTGCCACATTGTTGATTCAACCGCGAGTTTTATTGTCTCAAATCCTTTCGACCGGAATTTTATAGGTTTGTGGTGTTTGATAAATTCACACACTTCAACAGATTTAATGGTTACAAATCTGATTGTTAACAATGTAATCTTTAGCGTGTAATCAAAACAAAATCATCTTTACTTTGTACATACATACAGGGTGTGAGGGACAGCCATCCTAATACTGAAAGGGTGCATTCAGACCATGAAACTGAACAACTTCCTGTAGAAAAAAAATTCAGGAAGAGGAAAAAATGCATAGTAAATGCAATCAGTTGATCGTGATTTTGTATAGGAAGTCGAAAAATTTTTTTGGTTTCCTGAAATTTATTTCTATGGCAAGTTATTCAATTTCATGGTCTGAATGCACTATCAGTATTCGGAGACCTGTCCCTTACACCCTGTATTATCTAGTAGGTACAAAATAAAGATGATTCTTTTTGTTAGAATGATAAATAATGACCAGAATTTAGAGTTATTCAATACATTAATAAAAACGTGACACCATATACTTACCCTACTGCGACTACACAACAGTCTTTTACTGGTATTACCATACTCACCACGCTTGGCAGGCAGATTGGCGAGCGCAACGCAATGTAAGGCGTAGAAGATATTCGCAGGGAATGCTGTTGCCCATTCCATCTGTTCATCTCATAGTTAGAACGGTTCATTTTGAACAAAAAGTCATCTAGATCTTGAGTTTCATCTGACACCCGGCTATATACCCATGTTTGGTATCGTTTGATTCCTCGTGATGTCCTGAATTAAGATCCGGAGTCCTCAAGAAACCGAGTGTTCCGATGGGTAGGGAGGGGGAATCAAAGATGGCGGAATACTCTTGTTTTAAAATCCTATCATGTGGGGTATCAAATGAAAGAGTTTGACGAGATGTTTTTAAAAATGTATCATACTAACATATTTCAGCTACATAATTGTTTCCGGATCCTGAACGAAGGCATTATGACCAATCCAACGATACCAAACACAGGTATACAGACGAGTGTCAGATGAAAAATGACCTCTAGTACGGGTGAAAACTATACTATAGTTGCCCTTTACGTCACTCACGGGTAGAAATGGGTGATGCAAAGCCGGCATCACACAGGACATGTAATGGCTTAAATAACTACTAGAAACAAACAAATATAAATATTTAATCGGTCTCTACGACTGGCTACGAAGCGGCGGCGTAGAGCAATTCTACGAGAGGCTTAAAAGCATTTACCTTTATTTACATATCGCCTAAGAAAATAAAACGTTGAGTGAAAAATAATACGTTTGCTGAAGCTGCAGAAAACCTACAAAAAATAACAAATTCAAGCAATCATTGAATCCAAGGCGATGGTACATTCAGCAGCATTTCAAACTAACCATTGAAAGGATTGACCTATATGTGCCTATAGGTACTAGCACAGATAATATAATATACTAACCGTTAAGTACTGGTAAATAATACTGTGTAGGGAAGAGAACAAGTAAGTTTGAAGTTGAGCGCTTATATGTATTCATATAGGTACATATAAGCGCTCAACTTCAAACTTACGCTTAAACGAGCGCTTACAATTTTCCTCAATATTAGGAACATAGGTCAAGAACAAAAAAGTAGACAGTGTATTTTATAGAGGAGGGCTAGTAAGAGGTAATTTTTTTTTTATTGATTAGACCTATGTTCCTATCCTATCATATCAAATTTCAGGCTGATAACGTGTCGCTACTTTTGTCAGACGTGGTGTAAATGACCCTTTACGCTCTGCCTTCCCCGCAAGGGATATAGGCGTGATATACGTATGTATGTACCTATGTTCCTATGGGAAGTTTAGCTTAACGAGTTGAGCTTTTTCGGGAAATTAGAACGTTTGGAACCATTCTGGATAAGTCTATAGTATCTATTGTAAGTTTTTGTTTGTTAAGTTTCATTTCAGGCTCGTGAATGGAATAGTACTTATTGAGAATTACGAACCGGTGCGAACTGGTATCGCCTGCGCACTAATTGGATGTAGAGCTGCACAGGAACCTAGCACAGGGGCGTATTTAGGTAAGTCCCTACGGTAGGGACCTAACTAGTTTTTTTGTTATAGTATCTGTGAATTGTGACGATCATCAATTCATCGAGTTTTTATTTGTTTTTTAATTTTCTATGTACATCAAAGGTAGGTAAAGATGATAAAGCAGTTATCATCGGACTGACTGTTTGTCGACCTTCGGCTACATACTATGACGTGGAACAAAAATGAAGCAACTAGCATCACTAACAACCACAACAGTACCCTACTGGACATGAAGCTCCTTACTGCTGGCTGGCATCTTCTATGTTAACAGGTGGTGGTTTGGCTAGCGTACTGAAAGGTGCCGTATGCACATGAAAAGAACTGCATGACTACTTTTTATAACAGCTATGATTAAAAAACTTACGTACACAAAAAGGCCCAAACTATCCTAACACATTGAAATACAACATCTGACACATTTTTAAAATTGCAGAAAATGAGTTCTGGAGTGATGCTAGTCTAAGAAGGCATCACACGGAAGAAAGGAGAATCTAGGCGCCATTTACTAATTCCGTGCCTGTTTTAGGTTGGCTGCAAGAATTGGCAGCTGAAAGGGGGTGGTATAAAACCTGGTGGAGGGTGGCATCAGCGCAGGAGTGGCGTGCCACAAGGGCCCTATCCATCGCCCCTTACTGACTACATCCCTGAAATAGGGTGGCTGCAAAGGGTGGCAGAAGAAAGGGGGTGGTATAAAACCTGGTGGAGAGTGGCGTCAGCGTAAGAGTTGGTTTCACAAAGACCCCTCTATCTAGCGACCCCTCTATCTAGCGCCCCCTCTGTGCCCCTTACTGACTACATCCCTGATATAGGGTGGCTGCAAAGGGTGGCAAGATAAAGGGGGGTGGT